CTTCGAGTCCACTGCTGCGTCTGCCTTAGTTGCTGAGCTTGTCGACTTTGCTGCTCGCTGTCGTCTAGACTACGCTGCTAGTCTTGTCGCTGAGTCTGAGTCTGTCTGTCCTCCGTCCGTCGGGGGTGAGTGTGCCCTTGGCACGGACGTCCTTGAGGACAGGCAGGAGGAGTTCCAGTTCTTTGCTGCTGCTTCACCTCATCTCGTGTCCATGCTGCTGGCCCTTGAGGGAGACCCGGATGCACCAGACATCCCGACTCCGCGCTCTTACGCGGAGGCGATAGAGGGTCCCTACTCCTCTCAGTGGCAGGCAGCCATGGACGCAGAGATGGCTTCCTGGAAGTCCATAGGCACCTACGTCGACGAGGTTCCCCCACCTGGGGCGAACATCGTCAGTGGCATGTGGATTTTCAGGGTGAAGCGGCCCCCGGGTTCTCCTCCTGTCTTCAAGGCGCGTTACGTGGCTCGAGGCTTCAGTCAACGGCAGGGAGTTGACTACTTTCAGACCTTCTCTCCCACCCCGAAGATGACCACTCTTCGGGTACTACTGCACATAGCCGCTCAGCGCGACTACGAGCTTCACTCTCTTGACTTCAGCACTGCTTTCCTACAGGGTAGCCTGCACGAGGAGATCTGGCTGCGCCGCCCACCTGGCTTCACTGGGTCTTTTCCTCCTGGCACCCAGTGGAGCCTCCGGCGGCCAGTCTACGGTCTCCGCCAGGCACCTCGTGAGTGGCACGACACACTGAGGACTACACTTGCGGCTCTTGGGTTTGCTCCTTCTACTGCCGACCCGTCGCTGTTTCTGCGCACCGACACCTCTTTGCCGCCGTTCTACATCCTCGTGTACGTCGACGACTTGGTCTTTGCCACAGCTGACACTGCTGGACTCGCCCACGTGAAGTCCGAGCTGCAGAAGAGACACACGTGCACAGACCTGGGTGAACTGCGCAGCTACCTTGGCTTGCAGATCACCCGGGACAGAGCACAGCGCACCATTACCCTGACTCAGTCACACATGGTGCAGCAGGTCCTTCAGCGCTTCGGCTTCACGTACTCCTCGCCACAGGCCACTCCTCTGTCTACTCGCCACTCGCTCTCAGCTCTGCCTTCGGATGAGTCCGTAGAGCCGAGTGGCCCGTACCCAGAGCTTGTTGGCTGCCTCATGTACCTGATGACCTGCACACGACCTGACCTTGCATACCCTCTTAGCATTCTGGCACGCTATGTTGCTCCTGGGAGACACCTCCCTGAGCACATGGCTGCAGCGAAGAGGGTGTTGCGCTACTTGTGCAGTACGTCGGGCATGGGGCTAGTGCTTGGAGGGCGGAGTCCAGTGGTCCTCACTGGTCACGCAGACGCGTCTTGGGTTGACGCCTTGGCTACGCAGCGGTCGTCACAGGGTTACACCTTCAGCCTTGGTTCCGATTCTGTTTCGTGGCGGTCTACCCGCTCTTCTTCTGTTCTCAGCTCCAGCTGTGAGGCTGAGATCTACGCAGGGGCCATGGCTGCACAGGAGTTACGCTGGCTCACCTACCTGCTGACTGACCTCGGAGAGCCGCCTCGTTCTCCTCCAGTTCTGTACGTAGACAACAAGGCCATGCTGGCCTTGTGTCGTGAGCACAGACTGGAGCACAGAACGAAGCACATTGCTCTTCGCTACTTCCTTGCTCGTGAGCTACAGCAGCGTGGTCAGCTGCGACTTGCTTACGTGGCCTCTCAGGCCAACACTGCTGATGTCTTCACCAAGGCACTCGCGCCTTGTGATCATCAGCGCTTCTGTACTCTGTTAGGTCTTGTACCTACTTTGCCTCACTTGCTCACTTCTTGACCTTGCTTGTACTTTGACCTATATATACTTGCACTTGCATGTTTAACTTTATATATATATATATATATATATATCTGCATGTGAACTGGCCTTGTGACCCTTGAACTTGTGCTCAGAATGTGTGGTGACGTTGTGATCCACCCTGAGCTTGCTGTGCTTTGCTTGACTGGTTTTGTGACCCCTTGTTCTCCCCCACTTTGCCTATGGGGGTGTGTCAAACTTATATGCTATAGTCTTTCTAGGCTGTAGTGGGGTAGACAGTATGGGGTACAGCTTTCTAGGGCTTCATATTTGTACCCAACTCATTTCCTAGTTCATCATTCATTCCTCATTTCTTCACAATAGGTGCACTGCTTCGTTGTGAGGCGGCGCACTAAAGAGACCCTTATTAATACTAAACTACCGGCGCTTTATTGCGAAGCTCTTACATGGCTTGTAGAACTTTGTGGGCACCATTGACGCCTACAACGCTGTCGCGGGCCGCTTCTACAAGCATAAATTATACTATTTCATACGAATTTGGATTAAAATGCAATGGTGACATTAACAGGAATTACAAACATGGCAAACATATGTAGCTTGAGATTAGGTGGCCTTGTTAGAGGAGCTAGCAACTTTTATTGGGGGTGGGAATACAACTTGCTCTGCTTTCACCTCAAAAGGTGGCATGTTGTGATGAGATCCCATTCTCATGGTCGATATCTCATTCTCACGGTCGAGATCTCATTATCACGGTTGAGACCTCATTCTCACAGTCGAGATCTCATTCTCATGATCGAGATCTCATTGTCACGTCCGCGATCTCATTCTCACGGTCGAGCATTCATTCTCACGGTCGATGTCTCTACCAACTGCTCAAGATATCTCTCTCTCTCTCTCTATATCTCTCTCTCTCTCTCTCTCTCTCTCTCTCTCTCTCTCTCTCTCTCTCTCTCTCTTTCTCTCTCTCTACCTCATTCTCATGATCGAGATCTCATTGTCACAGCCGCGATCTCATTCTCACGGTCGATATTCCGTGTCGAGAATCTATCTCAGGTATTCCGTGTCGAGAATGAAAACTCGACCGGGAGTTCCGACCGGTCTGACTCTATCTCAGGGTCGAGATTCCTCTCTCACACACTCGGTCAGTGGGCACTCTCTTACTCTGTCGATATCTAGCGCCCGCTCTCTCACTATCACTGTTCCGGATTCGCGCTCTCCTCTCACATTCGAGATCGTGTGTAGCTCATCCTCCCAACATTGCGTTTTTCCATCACATCTCTTCCCCCACCACACTTCTCTCCTCCAGCCCTTGTCTTGATCTTCAACTAAATCTCACGCATTTTGTCTGTGCGTCGGTGTGTGCTGGTGTGCGTGTGTATGCGTGTGCGTGTGCGTGTATTTGTGTGCGCATGTGAGAGTGCGTGTGTGTGTTGTAGTGTGTGTGGGTGTGTGTGTGTGTGTACCGGCAGATGCTCGCGGGCCTTTGCCGAGTGCAGTCTCTCTACGCGTGGCTCGATTTTGACAGTCTGAGAACATTTCAGGCCCTTGCGCGACCGGTGTACGGACGGGGGGACCCTTGTCGAGATTCGTGTGCGTTGCACTGTGCGTTGACGGGACGGCTGCCGCCACTGCTGCTGCAGCTTCTCATTGGCTGGTGGCAATATGATTGTCACAGTGTGAGTATTGTGCACGAGAGAATTGTGAACTGGAGTGGAGTGGGGGTGTGTGCATTGGGAAAAGAGTTGTCGAGCACTAGTGCACTGGGATCTAGGGTGCATTGGTGCATGTGAAGCATTGTGCCATCGTCATTCCTCCCCTTTTCCCCCACTATCCTCCTGTCCATTGATGGTATCTTGGTTACCGTGTGCATCATGGAAGTTTCTTCTATATGACCGGTCCCCCCCTTCGTCTCCACTCCAAGAACAGTTTCTCCACATGATCATCCTCATCCTCCTGCGTGTCTCTGTGCACATGTGGCTGTGCATGTGTGCACGTGTTTGTATGCATTCTTGTCAGTGGATTGTTGTGTGTGTGTGTGTGTACGAGTTATTGTGTGTGTGTGTATGTGTGCGTGGTTGTGTATGTGTGTTGGTGTGTGTGGGACTGTATGTGCGTGTGTGTGTGTGTGTGTGTCTAGGTGTGTGTCTACTAGCAGGTACTCCATAGCCTTTTGCCGTGGCGAGGACACTCCTGCCATCTCTGACATCGTGAGTGGGTCAGTACATGTCCAGCCCTCTCGAACTCCCCCTCATCCCGCTTGCAGCAGGCAACAATTTTTCTCTTCCTTACCTCATCCCACCCATTCCATATGTTACAATAATTTCACCTTCATTTCCCCGTTATGCGCTGCTATCATGTTTCAGTGCACCATGCTTCTCGGGTACCATCAGCCCACCTGCCCCCCACGACCCACCATTCTCTTCCCGCCCAAATATTGCTCTGATTTTCCGTTTAGTTCCTTTTCCTTTGGTCAGGTTTCTTGAATATATCTGCACACCTTCCCACATTTCCGCCCCCTACCTCCGAATATATGCAAATCCATTGCAATGCTCTCTTTACCACATCATTATTATTAGCACATCCTTTGTGTTCCGCATTGTCGACCTTCATGGGCCCAAATACTCCATACACTTGCCCATTTGCCATGCCATATGCCTGTATGCATTGCTTTCTCCATCGCCCTGTGAGCAGACGGTTGCTTGATCACCTAAGCAATTGTTAAACAATCCTGAATATCCCCCCACTCCGATGTGCGCATCCTGTACGCACTCTGCACCCCACCCAACGGCAGTGTGCCACAAGCAGGAACCCTTCGGTGCCCGCATCCCATGCGTTATCCTTAAAGCATTCCGTTGCCAACGCGCCCACTTTGCCTTACCACTGACCCCATGTGTGCTTACACACGTACTACACACTTTCCCACTACATCTTGTGCTCACATCATCCCGAACAGGTGTGGCCAGTGACGCATATACTCAACATGGACAACAGGGCAGAACATGAACGAACATCCGAGCGCAAAGGGTTAGAAAACGAACCCTCTACTTCCGACGAGTCCGACACAGGTGCTAAATTCACGCGACGAGGCTATTAGCCCACCATTCTCTGCACACCACCATAGTTTTCTGGTTCAGCTACTTCTCATACCCATTTCACGTTTGAGTTTTGTCATTATAGCACATTTCCCATGGCCTCGATCCCGTTTGCTCTTTCCCTCTGCTCTCTCCCTCTGCTCTCTCCATCTGCTCTCTCCCTCTGCAATCTCCCTCCGCTCTCTCCCTCCGCTCTGCTCCCTCTCTCCCCTCTGCTCTCTCCCTCCGCTCTCTCCCTCCACTCTGCTCCCTCCCTCTCCTCTACTCCCTCCCTCTCCTCTGCTCTGTCCCTCCCTTCTGCTCTCTCCCGCCCTGTGCTCCTTCTCAACCAACATTCTATCATGACACCCCTAGGCAACCCCGCTGTTGCATATGATTTGCATGACAGGTGTTACATGGTTGGCAGTATGGCGATCGTTCCATTGCACCCTCATACGACGCACTTCACAGATCTTATGTTCATTCCATTCGTTGCATAAACACCATCCATATTCCCCTTCTTTATCTCCGTTATACCATATACCCTCCTTTAAATGATTGCAGGAGAGGATGCTGATCGCCCGTTCAAGTGCGGTGGTTGCCCTAAACGCCTCCGCACTTACCCAGCCCTCGTCAACCACGAGCGGAAGCACCGCAACACCTCTGCTGAAGACATGCTGTTTTCGCCCACCACTAGGACTCTTGGGAGCAGACGAGGTGTACTTGTGGAGGAACATGCACCCCTTGTACGGGTAGAGTCTCCTTTGCTGCCACCAGTAGAAGAGGTGGAGGTGGTAGAGGATAGCGACGTTGAGATTGGGAGCCAACATGAGGAGGCGTTCGTATTTGTTGACGCTGATGAATATTTTGCTAATGAAGAGTCCATTACTGAGCCTGTGTTTGACACTCGCATTGAAACATTCAGATTTCTATCCCTCTGCAACAGGGGCACTGGGATGAGTGGACCTGATGTGGCGGCGTTTTTCAGGCTTGTGAAGAATCCAGGATTTGACATTGCGCAGCTGGATGGATGGAGTGGGCAGCATGCTTTAGATACGTACGCGCGCGAGGAGTTTGGGATTGATCAGACAAGGTTTAGGACTGCCATTGTACGAGTGCCTGGTTGGCATCGGACTTTCAAAGTGAAATATTTGGATCCTATTGAGGTATGTAAGTCCATGTGGAAGGCTGTGGTTTAGGATTTCCTGTAATAATGATTTTAATGGAGTTGTGATGATTCATGTGCAGGTTTTACGACGCATGTGGGCCGACCCAAGAAATAAGCAGGGGTTCATTCACAAAGCCTTCGAGAAATACGAGGGTGAAGCACGCGTTTATGCCGGCACAGAGACGGGAGATTTCTTTATAAAGTCTCAGGTGAAATCCTGGCACATTCACTATGTACTTCCTATTGTTGTTCTGTTTGAACTTATCAATGTTTAACAATCACGTATAATATATTTGTATCACTTACGGGTGTTAATTCTTTTACGTGCGTGTTTCGTACAGCAAGGACTCGGCGAAAAGGAATGCGTGTGCCCGCTAATTCTCTCAAGCGATGAGACGCACCTCAGCGGAAACGCGCGTTGCCGTGCCTGGCCGGTGTATCTGTCGTTCGGTAATCTTCCCCTCAGCGTTCGGTGGAGCGAGCACGGCCATGCACTCATAGCACTGCTTCCACTCCCAGACACAGACATGTCATCTACCCAGAAAACGATATTGTTCCAGGGATGCTGCGACGTCGTGATGAAGGCCCTCGACCAGGCGTGCAAGACGTAAGTGTTGTGCTTCCGGCGAGTGTGTGTGCGACAAACTTAACGTAGCGTACAGTCTGATGATACAAAATGTGTGCTTGCAGGTCCATCCCATTGACGGACCCATTTGGAGAGGTGTATACTGTCTGGCCCAAGCTGTTTTCGTACGTCGCCGATTTTCCAGAGACTTGCCGGGTCTCGTGCACCAAACAGACCGGAGCCAAGAGACCTTGCTCGATCTGTGAGGTGCGAGACGAAGACTTGGACAACATGGATCCGAATTGTGCTGCAAAGTTTCGCACGGTCGAAGACCAGCGCAAGTACGCCAACGATAAGGATCTTGCCATGGAATACTCTACCCACATGACAAAGGTGAGGGGACCATAAACCCATCTGACTGAGTTAGTATTTTGGTGTGTGGTCCATTTCCACACCACAACAAAGCTTTGTTGTGTTGCCATATGGTGTGCAGTGCTTTCTTTGGACTTTCGGAAAAGCGGAGGATCGATCGAAGCCCTGGGGCAACCCTTATCGCATCTTCATGCCCGACATCTTGCATGTCATATTGATCGGCATTTGGGTCTACATCCTGGAGGCTATCATCCTCGCAAACAAATGTGCTAAAAATGCAAACCAGTGAGTGATGTTGCTAATTAGTTTGGTTTGCAGGGGTGTGGGGTGCTGACTGGGTCATACATTAGGGTGACAAGCTATGTGTGGATATGGAAAGGGAGGGATTAGGGTGTTTGTGAATGAAATGTTCTTAAGGGGTATGGTGGGTGGTTTGTTAGATGCTGCTATGTATGGTGTGGATAAGAATTATTGGGTGTTCGTGTGGTGGTTGTTGAATGTGTCTCTCTGTGAGCTGGTTTCAAGAGTGTGTGGGTGTGTGCTGGTTGTATAGTGTGTGTAGGAGTGTTGTTTGTATGGAATGTATGAGTGTTGTTTCCCAAATGTGTGTGTGTATGGTGGTTAAACAGTATGTGTATGCAACGTGATGCACATTGAGTGGTGAACCTGAGTTGAGACTGTAGGTGACAATTCGGTTGTTGACGACATAAACCAAGCAGCTAATGCATCGTCGTTGTGTGTGTTGTACTCTTTTCTCATTGTGCACATGCCAGGCTGCACCTCGAGATGTATCGTGCTATATTACTTGCAGGCATGAAAATACCGCCACCCGGTGCATATTTCAGTTTGGGGGCCAACTTCTCTTCGTCGGAACATGCAGCAATGATGAGGGTAAGTAAGGAGGGACACGCTAAACGGTGCGTGGGGCAAAAGAAGGCTGTTTGGTATTGCTTCAAACTGCGGCAATGGATCCGTTCTCCCTCCCTATTGGCTCCCTATCACATTTCAGCTCCCCCCTAACTCTTTGCATCCTTTCCCCACTCAATATCCTCTCATCCCTTCTTGCTCACATCAACACCTCTCACTATCGGTCACACTCTTTTGACCCTGCACACCCCTTCTGATCCCTCCCATCCATCTGCTCTCTGACACTGCCCTGCTTGTATTCAACGATCGGCATCCTCCCACCCTTATGCAACCTGATTAAACCCTAACCCTCACACCCCTCTGTATTTTCGCTCATGTAACTTTCCAATCACCCTTTTGTTATGATGCAGGTTGCCGTGGTAATACTCGAGGGCCTCATCACGGATGCCCACATGTATGTGTTGCGTTCATTCGTTACATGGTTCGACAACTACTTTCGGGCGTCATCATACTCTGAGGCGAAGTTGGCGAAGTACGTCAAAGACACCGCAGAGTACGTACCATGCATACGTGTTTGTAGTGGATGTTACATTACCCTTGTGTTTGAGTCAACCATATGATTACCATGATATCATTTGTACATATCCACCACCATCCCTCCAGACTAGTCGGGCTCCTGAAGTCACATCTAAAGCGTGGAGGTGACGGATGGCTATTGCCGAAAATCCATCTGCTAACGCATTTTCCTGATTCCATTCGACGCGCGGGAGCTCCTAATCAGTATTGCACGGCATTGTATGAGCATGCACACACAACCACCTGCAAGCAACCATTCCGTGCTTCAAACTACCGCCAGTACGACGAAACAATTTTGCGCAGTGTTCAGATGCGCAATCTGCTCAGCACGCAAGAATCGGCTCTTGGAGGCTCGTCAACCTACGAGACTGCTTTATTGAAGGTGAGGCTCTAAACACTGTCATTTGAAAGACGGTCCATGTTGACACATCCTATTGCACGCCTTCTTCTTGCTACTGCATGTACTATTCACGTCGGATATGAGATGTGTCGGTGTTTTGCCTTGTTTGTACTACCACAGGCGGACCGTGTTCGTTCGAGCGTGCTTACAACGTCATATGATACAGTGGACCTGCCTGTGGGGGACCCAGCACGAAGAGGGGCAGCAACTTGGCAGGGATATGTGTCGTGCCATGCAGATAGTATGCAGCACCTTCACCCGTGCATCGAGGAGCTGGGGCTATCTGTCGGCACCATTCATGTAAGTGAATTCGAAAAGAAGGATGGTGTGCGTGAGAGTTGGGAGAGATTATGGGGATCTTAAGGGGGTGGTGGGTGATTTGATATATGTTCAAATTATGTATGGAGAGAATCAGTACAACACATTGTCATTGTTATGTTTGTATAGAGTGTGTGGGTGTGTTTTTGCATGTCGTGCAACTTGTCTATGTGTTCGGGCCTAATAGAGGGTGTGTGTGTGTGTGTGTGTGTGTGTGTGTGTGTGTGTGTGTGTGTGCTGGTTGTTTAGAGAGTGCGTGCGTTGGTTGTACCGAGTTCATGTGTTTGGGGGTGTTGGTTGTACAGAGTGTGGTTGAGATCGCTGTTTAGTAGGCGTGGGCATGTCGTACACAGTAGGTTGCCTAGCTGCATTTACAGAGGGTGTGCTAGCCATTTTTGTACAATGTGCGGGTGGGTGCTTAGCTCCGTATCTTTCAAGACATGTGTCCCATTCCATATTTTCTCGTTAATGTGCATCTCTGTCTTCCAGGTCCATTCGGCACTTGCCATTCCATCATGCGGAGAGAGGGTGGCACACTACGTTCACGCAACACCGAGCTTCCATGGGGCACCCGCATTTTCACGTGTTGCCATACTTCAGACCGTCACGAACCAAAACGGGAACCAGGAGAACATCACAACTTATGCAGACCTGCTCATGCTCTTCCACATAAACACGCGGCGTGAGGATGGTGAGCCTACGGCGCTAGCGTATGTGCGATTGTATGAGTCGGGTGAGGTGGACGACAAGACAACTTGCCTGAAGCTATTTTTGAGGGACACGCATCTCCGACACTACGTCGTCGACGTGCGGTCTATTCTGCATTCAGTTCATATCGTGCGATCATACCGTGAAAGGTCAACCTTCATCCTCAATCGCTATTGCATCATGAACCTTGTTGTTGTGGTAACATTTGTTTATAAATATACTTCACGTTGAGAACGAAAAGGAAGTGCTACTTGAACGATGGGGTTTATAGTTCAAACATGTTGTACAATTTTGGTGCCATTCCTTCCCATTGGATATGAGCCTATGAAGTTCCAAAAAACTAAGAGGTGGACGTGACGTGCATGGATCGACGCGATATGTGATGTCGTTTAGTCGTCATGTTGATATTTCTAGCCTGGGTGACCGTGCTGGTCAGACATGCGGGAAGCCTCACACTCAGCACCGCTGAGTCGTCTGCCTCGACGATGCTTGGAGTGCTGAGTTTGGTGATGACCAGGTGAGCGCCCCCACTGGTACTGTGCCTGTTGAGGTAGCTGGCGATTCAGATGCTGCTCGAGGTACTGCGTCTGGGGGTGCTGAGTCTGAGGGTGCTGGGTCTGGCTGTGCTGAGCACTGACGTTTGTTTATATATGAAAATCAGTTGCAAATGATCTCCAAACCGGGTAGTACCACCTTGATACATAGTGGAGGCTACTGCTCCAAAGAAACACGATTAAAAAATACAAATAAGACACTATGTTGCTGATAGTTTCATGATTGGCTATCCGTCATCACATTTGACACGTTCTCTGCACCGACATTTGTTTACATATGCAAACCAGCTGCGAATTATATCAAAACTGAGTACTCTCACGTAGATACATAGTAGAGGCTATTGGTCAAAAGAAATGGGGTTAAAAGTACAAACAGTGCACAATATTGCTGATAGCTACATGACTAGGTATCCTTCAACGTATTTGACTCGTTCTGCGCACT